GGCATCTCACAGATACACGACAGCAGTGCTTCTCAAACTGTAAATGTGTATACACATCACCTGGGGATCTTGTTAAAATGCAGTAGTAGGTCTGGGGTGGGGTCTGAGAGTCAGCATTCCTACCTGGCGCCCAGGTGACCCTGCTGTTGTTGGTGTGTGGACCGCACTTTGAGTAGCAAGGGGCTAAAGCCCTAATGGCAGCTCGCTGGTTTATGGTAATATCCCTGGAGATGGCTGACTAACCTGAGGAAGGAACCCTTAGTCCATGTGGGCTGCTGCTCGGGTACATTTCACAGCCACCCGAAGTCATTTCACACCCAGGTCCTGTTGCAGAAAGCACACGCCGCCGTAATGAAGAAGAAGGAAAAAAAAAGGCTCATCAGAAAACACCGAGCATACTGATTTGAACCTCTGATAATTGGGATAGTTCTCTAATTTACCTTTCCAGGTACTCCATTTTTGCAGATTAAGGAACAATTTTTTTAACGAACATGGGATAAACTGCAGCTCCATGGGAACACCAATTTGCATACATAAAAATTCCGTCTGTCGAAATGTTTCACGACTGTCTGCACAATTGCCGTCACCTGAGGGAACCTCTACCACGCTAGATTTCACCCTCGGAGATTTTTATTTAATTGACCTGGTGGGGCGGGGCGCCAGCATCAGCATTTTTTAAACACTCCCCAGGTGGTTCGAACACGCAGCCATAGAGAATCTTTGACCATAGCGATGCTCCTTAAACTTGGGCAAGTATCAAAACGATGCCTTGTTAAACCTTAAATTGCTGGGCCCCACTCCCAGAGTTTCTGATCAGGTAAGTGTGGGGTGAGGCCTGAGTATCTGCGTTTCTGACAACCTCCAGCGGCGATGCTGATGCTGCTGGTCTGGGGGCCTCCCTTGGGAGAATCGGTGATTTACAGCGCCGACTCCCAAACTTGGCTACACACTGGGATCACTTGGTGAGGTTGAAATACTGCTGATGCCTAGATCCCTGCGCCCTGCCCCACCGAGATTTTGATTTGTCTGGGGTGTAGTCTAGGCAATGGGGACTTAAAAGAAACTCCCCAAATTATTAAAATTTGAGAACCATTGATAGCACTGAAACAAGTCTATCAGGTCCCAGAAACAGAAACTGGCCACACCTAGGAGCTGGTTAGAAATACAGATTCTCAGGCTCCACCCCAGACCTGCTGATCATAATCTGCATTTCAATAACATTCTCCAGGTGACCTGACATATTTAAAGGTGAGCACTACTGTACTCGGGAACCCTTTGAAATAACACTTGATTGATCTGTTATGTAAGCGCTTTAAAGACATCAACAACTAATAGTTCCTAAAAATAATGGGCCATAGAATTTAGTCCATAGCCAAAAAAAATAAAAAAGCAAATGTGTTGCCATCCAGTAGATTTCAACTTATGCCGACTCCACGTGTTACAGGGTGGGACTGCTCTGTAGGGTTTTCTGGGCCCTAAGCTATATAGGGGAGCCCCTGTGTGGCACAAATAGTTAAACAGAAAGACTGGTGGTTCAAACTCACCCAGAAGTGCCTAGGAAGACAAGCCTGGTGATCTGCTTCTGAAAGATCACAGCCTTGAAAACCTTATGGAGCAGTTCTACTCTGCACACATGGAGTCGCCATGAGTCAGAGTGGACTTGGCAGCAGCTAACAACAACATCTTTATGGAAGCAGATTGCCAGCCATGCCTTTCTTCCAAAGAGCTGCTGGGTGGGTTGGAACTGCCAACTTTTAGGTTAGTACCCAAACTTGTTGCTGTCAAGCCGATTCCGACTCATGGCAACCCTACAGGACACAGTAGAACTGCCTCATAGGGTTTCCAAGGAGCGGCTGGTGGATTCAAACTGCAGACCTTTTGGTTAGCAGTCAAATGCTTAACCACAGCACCACCAGGGCTGTAGGTTACTAGATGAGCACAAACCATTTGTGCCACCCAGGGACCCCTAATTTAGTCCATCCAAATCAAAAACCAAACCCATTGCTGTTGAGTTGATTCCTACTCATAGTGACCCTATAGGACAGGGTAGAAATGCCCCATTGGGTTTCCAAGGCTGTAAATCTTTACAAAAGCAGACTGCCACATCTTTCTCCAGCAGAGCACCTGGTGGGTTCGAACCGCCAACCTTTCAGTTAACAGCCAAGCACTTTAACCACTGTGCCACCAGGGCTCCTTAATTTAGTGCATTCTTACTCCAAATTATCGAACCCTTCTTAGACTGTCATTGCAGACACAAACTTGGTGATTTTTGCTTGCATTGCAAAAGGAGACATCGGTAATCCCAGCAGAGTAAAACTGGACTTTCAAGTCACAAGCAGAGGTTAAGAATAACCAAGCTTTTACTAACTAGTTTCACATATTTGCATAAAGTTTATTATTCATGATAAATTGCTCTTCTCTTTTTAGGTTAATGTCTTTTGATTTTAGAAAACTGTACACTTGTTATTCTTTACCAGAGATATACAACGTAGACAGAGTCATAGTTTATGCAACTTTTCATATTGCTAACACTTAAGATCCTGAGGGGAGGAATATAATGTCATGAGAAAAAAGTTAAGACTGTGTTTTCCTAATAAGTCTTTCTGGGTAGTATTTTATTTTTATTTATGTATTTATTTTTAAAACAAAAAAAGTTTTATTTGGCATGCATTCAAAAAGGCAAAGTAGGAAACGCACAGCCATGCTGCCAGAGCCATGTCTGCCCGAGTCCAAGGAATATCACAGAACAGACAAAGTGGGAAAATGGACAAGCATGCTGCCAGAGCTGTGTCTGCCTGAGTCCAAGGAAATACCATAGAACAGACAAAAGTGGGAAAACGGACAAGCATGCTGCTAGAGCCGTGTCTGCCCGAGTCCAAGGAAATATCATAGAACAGACAAAAGTGGAAAAACGGACAAGCATGCTGCTAGAGCCGTGTCTGCCCGAGTCCAAGGAAATAGAACAGACAAAAGTGGAAAAACGGACAAGCATGCTGCTAGAGCCGTGTCTGCCTGAGTCTAAGGAATATTACAGAATAGGCAAGGAAGGGAAAATGGACAGGCATGCTGCTAGAGTCATGTCTGCTCAAGTCCCAGAAGTTACAGTCATCAGTATATATTAACATTACAAATGGGCAAAACCACTGAAAGCTTCACCTTTTCACAGATAGGCTAGATCTGAGTAGTATTTTAGGTGGAAAGATAATTACAGTGTAGAAAGGCCAACCATGTGATACATGGCCAACCATGCTCCTCAAACTTCGATGTGCACAGGAATAACCTGGTGAGCTTGTTGAAATGCAGTTTCTGATTCGGTGTGTTTGGGCTTGTATGAGACTCTGCATTTCTAACAAACAGATGTTGGATGCTACTGGTCCACAGACCCCACTTTGAGTAACGAGGGTTAGCCCCAGAACAATGGCTCAAAAAAGCAGGTGGCCTGGTACTAGCATTAGGAAGGGTGATTTTGTTGAAAGTGCTGATTTGCTGTTTTGAATCATCTGCGAGAGACACCAAAGGGAGAAAATTATTCAAAGACCCATTATTAATGAAAAGTTAATAGAGAAAAATGACGAGTCCTTTAAGGTAACAGCAAAATAGTAACTTAAATACCTCAGATGACTACCAGGGCAGAATTTTCTAAAATGTTGCAAGCTCTGCATGCTTGAAGTAGCAATTTACATGCATAATTAGGTGCAATCAACAGTTTTGAAAAGTAATATATTTTCTGAGTCCGTATTTACTCATGACAGGTGCATACAAAAATCTGTCCTAAAAAAACAGAGGGATATAGAAGGAAAAATATTTGCATGTTAACAATAGGTATGTTTAAAAGCATATGCCTAAATTTAGAACAAATTTAGTTGAAGTATTGTATCTTTATTTTGATTTAATCTTCATTTAAACATTGAAAGAAGTTCACAAACACATTTTGGAAGTAACAGGCATGGAAGAAAAGTAACTGCTATTCCAGTGCCTGTCTGAGCTAACATGTGATTCTTATTTCTGCACTGTAGAAGGGAAACTTGTCCGACTCAAAACTTCCCTCCATCGACTGCTGACTTTTCTCCCTGCCTTCAGAAGGAGCTATATTGCTTCATTATTTGAAGATACCAAATACCTTCTGTTGTTGCTAGTTGCCATCAAGTTGGCCTTGGACTCATGCGCAATGGGACTGGACGGTTGTGATTCATAGGATTTACACTGGCTGATTGAGAATCCACTTAAATAAAAAAAAATTAACTAAACTGGTAATATCTTCCTAAAGATCCTCAGATGTGTGCTCCTAACATCTTACGGTTCTCAGTATAACAGACAATGTTGAGCGTTCACTATCTACCAGGCATTCTGTTACCACACAAATCATGTAATTCGTTATAAAAATCCTTTAAGAATTGTTTCTTATTGCGAGGTCATGGAGAGGAAGTGGAGAGTAAGTTCTTCAAAGGCACACAGTTCAACATGTATTTTTGTGGCTGGTGCATTTTTACATAAGGGGTCATAATGTCACTTAAAAATTGTAGTGAATCTCAGACTAAAGCAAGCTCACTTTATTTTTCATGTTCCCAATTTAGAAAAAGAATTTGAAATCTAGTTTTTAGAAATTCTGAAGAAAAAAGGGACCAAGGCCAAAAATCTGTAATGTGGTCATCAAACCTTTCTCTTTCCAAAGGCATATTTGGATCAAATTATGCAGACTGGCTGTCTACACTGATTAAATTAAAGTGGCAATTAATCTCTGTCGTACTGATGGTGTCTTCTTCTGTAACTGCAGCAACTGTCGGGACAGTGTACCTTGATACGTAAAAGCTGTCTTTAAATTAATACAAAACAGACACGAGATAAACAATGCCATTTTCCAGTTTCATTAGGCAAGTGTTACCTGTGATACATTATATGCTGGGGGAAAAAGCTATCTTCTGCTAAGAAACACATGAACAGTTCATTTATCTGCTGACCCATTTGGGGGCATTATGGAACTCAGCCCAGAACAATGGGCTCTATTTAATATTAAACAGGTTCTTAATAGCCCGCTGTGTCTCTCCATAGCTACTGGAAGGTCCTTTCTGGACGTGCAGAGTTGCAGTGACAGTTCCCATGAAGTTGTAAAATGCTCCCCAGGACCAAGTGGTGTTAAATTTAGAAGTCATCCAGATCACCTGACTGCCGGTGAGCCCAGATGTAAGAATTTCTAAGTCCACCCTTGCCAGCTCTCTCTCTCTAACTATATATCCACACCTAGGCGCAGCTCGCCGCCTGCTCCCTGGGGCCACCCCCGGAGCCTCCTGGAGACTTGCCCTGCTGAGGACGCCTTTCCAGCACCGGACAGCTCGCCACTTAGGAGAGGCGGCACCCAGCTGGCACCCACGCCGAGGCACATTGCAGTAAATGCCTGGCAGCGACTTCTCGCTTCTCCCTCCTCCTCCCCCATCGACCCCCCGCTGCCGACCTTTAAGGCAAACTCCGGCGCGCTGCAAGCCTGGCGTCCTCGCCAGCCACGCGGGGCCCCACCCCCTCCCGGTGCCGACCGGCGGGGGGCAAGGGTAGGTGGACTTTCTGCCTAGAATTTGCAGCTGGCTTCGCCTCTGGACTCCAGCTCCCCAGTGCAGGCTGTGAGGCGCGGAGCAGACGGTGGAACCGAAGCCCTGGGAGTCACCCGCGCACGCACCAGGGGGGCTGACCCCGGAGACACGCTTGGCCGCGGGAGGGAGGAAAAAGGACTGGGGCCAGCGCGCAGGTGGGGGTCGCCTGGGGCTGGGCGCACCAGCCACCTGCCCTCCGCATGCTCCTCTGCCGCCCGCCCTCGCCGCCACCCCCTTGCACAGGTCGGAAAACCCTCCCTTTCCTTGGCTCCTCCGTGTCGGGGAGGCGGCTAGGGTGAGGGTCGGCGCGGGGTCAGGGGGCGGGGATGGGAGATTTCACTTACACCTGACGTCCCCGCTTCCTGCCAGTCTCGCCCAGCAAATCCCAGGGAGCGGGTTGGTTCTTCCAGTAACTTTGTTCCGAAGGTTGGAGGGGAGGGGAAACGCTGAGGGGCCCAAGGAGAGGCCGGAACGCGCCGAGGATCGGGAGGCCTGGCTGGAGAGCAGGTTCCCGGGCGGCCCCGGGGCTGGGCGAACGGCTGGGAGGCGCCGCCGCCGGGATGCTCTCTGCTTAGCGGGACTGCCGGGGGCGCCTGAAGGCCACCGCTCCAAGGACACGCGGCCAGCCGCTCCTCGCGCTCCCGGCCCGGACGCCGCCCGTGCCGGAGCCGAGCAGGAGCGGAGCTGCGGGGAGCGCCGACGACGGGTGGCAGGAGGGCGGGCGCGCGGGAGGCGGCCCCTCCTTGGCGAGCCATGCGTGCCTCGGGCGGCTGAGGAGCCGCCGCCGGGCGCCGCTGCCAAGTCTCCGCTCCGCTTTTGTCTTGCCCTCCAGTGAATGGGAAGATGGAGATGGATGTCGAGGGAGTTTCTCCGCGCCCGGAGCCCATCCCCCGCTCCCAGGGGGCCGGCGGAGCCTGCCAGGCGCCGCCACCGTCGCCCCAGCCCCCGCTGCCGCCGCCGCAGCTGGCTCACGAGGAACTGCCCGGCGAGAGTGCGGGCGCTGAGGACAGCGACGACCCCGAGAAGAGACCCAACGGCGAGAAAGGAGCCAGCAAGGTAGGTGCACAGTGTTGCTGCTGTGACACCTTTTGAACCAAACCAAGGCGCTCTGTAGTGGTGGCTGTCACTTTAACCCCTGCGTTCCCCCAGCCCCCTTCCCGCGTTTGTGATGGGGGAGGGGGAGATGTGCGGAAGGCGTGAGGTCTAGGGGAATCCGTGGGCGATAGTGACTTTCCGAAGTGGAAGGCGTGTGCGGAAGTCTGTCCTGGTTTCCGTGCTCAGCGGTGTGTGCAAAGAAAAGTCTGGTCATGCGGTGTGATGGCCAGAGCAGAGCCCAGCACCTCGGGGGAGCAGCGTTGAGAGACTTTTGCTTGCCCTTCCTGTATAAGGGGGGCTTATTTGCATGGTTTAGGGGAAACGTGTTCAGGAGTTGCCAGGTGGCTTCTGAGACTCCTTGGAGGGAGGTGACATCAATCTGAGATGACAACAATGGGAGCAAAGTTTGGCTCATTTTGCAGAATTGAGAGCCTGCTTGACCCAGCTCAAGGTCCTCCTTGGCTGGCATCCTCCTACCTAGGAGGGCAGGGACCACGCGCCTGGCAGCCGATGAGCCCTGCACGTCTTTTGCAGCCCTGCTGTGTCACTGTAGACCAGGGGATAGCTGCTGCTTACTGTGGAGAGAGTTCTTCAGGTAATTGGATTCCAGTAAGAGGTGGCTCAGATACCATTCTGGGGCAGTTTCTCCTCCTGAGAAAACTAAAATAAGAGGAAATGGAATAGAAAAGAATGCCGTAGGAATATAGGTAGAGTGCGTTGATTACAGCTTTGTCTCTGGGTATGGTCTTCTTTTCCTTACACACTTGGAGTTTGTTTTCGTGGAAGCTTGTATTGTTTAGGTGTAGCTGTATAATGTGCACACGTGTATTTGCTAATACGTTTTGAATTTGGCTGCTAATATTGGGGGAAGGTTGGTTCAACAAATCAGAATATTGGAACAAAAGAAGGGTCAGTCAATATACTCTTTCACTTTTGTCCGCTTAAGGAAGTGTACAGGAAAATGGGCACTTCTGCTGGTTAGAAAAGAATTGCATTTTATGAAGTACTCGTCCTTGGAGATTGCTTTGGTGTCTGCTGGACCTTTCCTAAGGCACTAGAGGATTAAACAAATGCCCGGAACTCATCGGGATCACATTGAGCATTGCCGTTTTGTGTTTGGAGACAGGATCACTTAACAAGTTGAGATTTGCAAATGCTGGAAATTGTTTTGCATTTTGAAACTTAGCTAAGAAACGAGATTGTTGTTAATCTACCAAGATCAGTATTGTAATTTAAATGGGAGTCTCCCAAGGAACTGGAATTTGAACACTCTAGACCAGATCGAGGTGTCTTAAAAATGCATAGAAGATTTACATTGTGTAAACTACGATGAATTTTAGTATCCTAATTTCCGTGGCTTTTTCAGTAGCTCTTGATTTTGTGAATATTTAATTCTGTCATGACTGTATATTTACTACTTTAAATGGTTGTCTGCTCCTCTGTTTTCTGAAGTAGCCATAACGGGGCATCAGTATTACCTGATTGAACTTTAAGTCTCTTTTGCAAAATAGGTGTGGGGAATAATTAAAATATACAGCCAGTGCTGCTATTTCCATACGGTTGGTTCCTGTGCCCTAAGCAGGAGAAATTCCTGCCATCAGCAAAAATCCGGGCTTATTTGTTTCCCTTTGATGCACCACGCAGACTGTCGAATGTGCTACCGGTTGTGAGGCATGGGGAAGCCGGTGCGCTAGAAATATGACAGCAGGTGAAGGGAGGCCTGAAAGCGGCTTGATTACGTTTAGTTAATTAGCATGTGCAGATAATTGAGTATTCCACTGATATGATTTGCTGTATGTTTGTCTCCAATTTCTTGAGGTGGAAACAAAACACTCCTTTCTTCCTTCCAGGTGTTTGCCTTAAAAAATTATCTTTCATCCTTTCCATGACCCAGAAAGCAGCTGTGTTAACCCTCTGCGTGCCTCTGGCAGTCTTCCTGCTGGTTCTTTGAAGAGTTTGAGGATGTTTGCTGTGTTTCAGGCTTTAATAACTGCTTTTGGCTGTGATGAATCTTAAGGCAAAGTTATAAATTGATTTTTCTTAGCAAATCTACTAATGAAAGGCCTTTCGTTAGTAGAAGGGCCTTTGGATGTCTAACTAAGTTATTCTACAGAAAATAAATAAGTAAATGGAAGATGAACTGGGATAAAGTGGGATGTGGTGTGTCCGTGCTGTTTTGAGAGAATCACAATAGGGTTTAAAAGCAGTAATGTATACACGTGATGCATAGGCTTACGGTGTTTTCTTCTCACGGAAGACTAATAAGCATATGAACTGTGAATACTGAATCATTTATCTTAATCCGGATATGCCCCCTGAATGACATTTTTTCAGACTATGATTTGGGGCCATGATTTATTCTCTCATGAATTTACCCCAGTTGTCTATTGAAAAAGAAATTGGAGCTTAGCGTACGTTCTCAGAGAGTCTCCGAAATAGAAAGAGAGATTAGAAAACTGGATCAGTCAAGGGAACTTTTACGCCAGAGGTTCAGGACGTGACTGGCACTTTGTGTTCCCAGAGTAACCATGCCTGATTCCTCTCAAGCAGCTGATCCTTAAGGAGATATTAAAGCAGCTGCATTTTATTCTAAGAATCGGAGGAGATCCTGCATAGGTTATTTGTGCCTCTTTTGTACCAGGAGGAGGTATTAAATGCTTACAAAAAGTGGTCTGCTGTAAAAACATCCAAAGACAATGTGATGTAACTCTCTTTGGGACTTCGTGAGGTTCTTCCTTACCTATTGTTTTAAGACCTTCTTCCATATACCTGAAGAGGGGGTCACTAAGCTGGACAAATCTCTCTTCTGGTCTTAGAGATGAAGACTGAAGGGTCACTGTCCTTGAGAAAAGGAGCCCCGGTGGTGCAGTGGCTAAGCACTCGGCTGCTAACCAAAAGATCGGCAGTTTGAACCCACCAGTGCCTCCTCGGGAGGAAGATGTGGCAGTCTGCTTGCCTAAAGATTACAGCCTTGGAAACCCTGTGGGGGCAGTTCTAGCCTGTCCCGTAGGGTTGCTATGAGTCTGAATCGACTCAATGGCAGTGGGTTTGTTTGTTTTTTTTTTGTTTTGTTTTTCTTTTTGGCCCTTGAGTAAATGACATTCAAATGTTTGAAGGTGTTCTTGACTCTGGACTTGATCATTCGCAAAACTTAGAGTTTTCTGTGGACCTAAATATTCCATCTTTTTAGTGCCTTTTGCAACTCTTCTAAAGTGCTTTGGTTATGCCAAATAACTCTTGGATAGATACGAAACTTCCTTTGGAAAAGTTAAAAAAAAATTTCTTATAATGAGGACCAGTACTCCAGTATCTCACTCTATGTCATCAAGTTAATGATGCATATATGTGACTTCCTCGTTTGACCCCCGAGAGCCATATGAATAATTCCTTCTTGTCCCCTTCAGCTTCATCTTATTCATGTATGTTCTCTCTCTCCCCTTTCTTCCCCCCACCCCACCAAACACGTTTTACTCTTTACCATGATGTTTTGTATATTAAAAAAAAAACCAAACCCATTGCCGTCAAGTCAATTCCAACTCATAGTGACCCTATAGGACAGAGTAGAACTGTCTGCGTAGGGTTTCTGAGGAGCGACTGGTGGGTTCGAACTGCCAAACTTTTGGTTAGCAGCCGTAGCCCTTAACAACTGCGCCACCAGGGTTTCCAATGTTTTGTATAGAAGAGTGTATTTATGGCCTAGATTGAGGTATCAGGACCAAACGTTTTTGTCTGTTCAGCTCTTCTTACAGCCTTAGTTTGCAACACGTGTTATCTTGGTGGTTTTGGATTAGAGGGACTCTACTGTTGCTATCAGTGTTACTTCATTGATGAATTACCCAGCCTGTCCAGTACAGTTTTTAAAGCCTTTATTTTGAAATAATTTTCGATTTATAGAGGAATTGCAAAGATAAGACAGAGTTCCTGTATACTCTTTGCCCAGCTTCCCCAAATATTAACATGCTACATAATCATGGTATGTGTATCAAAATGAAGAAATAGTACAGTCCTGTTAGCTAGACTTGTCCAGTAAATTTTCCTGGAATGGATGTGTAACATATTGACATTTTCTAATCTATCCTTCTAGGATTTAATATCTTCTTTACACCTGAAAGTCTCTCTGAGAGGGTATTTAAGTGCCCAATTTAACTTCGGGGTGACTGCTTCCCTTTTTCTAGAGTGGAGGAGCAGCTTGAAAAGTGCAAAGGGCTGAGTTCCCCGAGGCTCTGCATCAGGCAGCAGTAAGTGCTGTGGGAGCGACCACTTTAGCAAAGCCCTTGAGAGCTGTTAACTTGTGTGGTGCGAGTCTTCCTTTTTATTTTATCCTGAAAAACATCCCTGCTGCAGGTAAGATAGTGTTTGTCAGTACGCAGAACTGGTTTGCCTTTGCTTTGAGGATGACAGTCCCAAGTGGCAGGTAGAGGAGAAAAGGAGATGGATAAAATCAAGGCAGCTGACTTTGATGCCCAACCCCTTGGGTGTTTGTTCCCGACCAGAAAAGTAATGAAGCCCTTTGGTTTTTGCATTGTGCTCACCAGGGGAACTCAGAGTTCTTGCCTGCATTAGGCAGGAAGATGCCACCTTGGTTAAGACTGTTGCCTGCAAAATCAGAAAGACCCCTGTTGGATCTTGGTTCTGGCTTTTACTAGTTACTGACCTCAGATAAGTTCTTAACCAATCCTCAGTCTTTTTATCTGTAAAATAGGAATAATTTTAGTGCTTACTGTCTATGGTTGTTGTATGGCTCGAATGAGATAAAACACAAAGTTTTTGATTCAGTGCATCATAGGTAATA